AGTGAGAAGTAGCATTCCTCTAACACTATTGAATGCAGATATACTAGACTCTTCATATTTACTTGTAGATTTTCATGTTCTGAGGATGTTTCCTTTGAAAAACTACCCAAAATGTTCAAACACTCAACTTCTGTGGAAAGAATTTACTACATATATGTAGATATCTTTCAAAAACATAGCATATCAAAACATTTTCTTATGACTTCAAACGGATAAAAAAATAGTATACCAATTAGTTTAATTAGCAACATGCATCAAGTACTGTACTGCTGTATGTGAATTTTTATAATTTTAATTGCTAATATGATCGTTTACAAAGCAATTTCCTTCACAAATAAGATGAATAATAATTTCATTGGAATAGAAACGAAAATAAAATTTTCACAACTATCTCTAATTTGTCAAATTTTAAAGTGTTCAAAAACGAATAATGGAAATAAATTTAAATAGCAATATCTATAAAGAAGGATAAGAATATCTATTAATTACATGGTTAACAAATGTCGTTGTTTTAATACTACTGTAAATGTAACGATGCCAATGTAATGGTCCAACCACTCTGGGTTACTGCCAATATGTGGATTTACTACTGTTAGAGGAGCCATTATAAACAAAAGTGGTGAAAATATCATTTTTACTTTCCCGTATACACATGAATACACGGAATAATATATGTAGTATACGGAAAGTTATGTAATGTTGCGTGAAAAAACGGTCAATTTTCGGCAGAAAAAAATTCATCCTGATAATGAAAAAGTGGATAAATCCCGTTGCTAAATTAAGAAAAAATCTACTAACCCGTGGTGAAGCCAGAATCACTGTTTGTGAGTCTTCGAAGAAACTCTCCGATCAATCTGGATCTACTTGAGACGCAGCGATATACAAAAACTTTCTTCAAAATTTGAGGGAACTTGAAGTCCTCGAACATTTTTACAATTTTCTCAGAAACAGCTTCACAATTTTTCTTTAAATTTCTTGTAAGAATAGAGTAAATTACGCTTATAAAAGTGGCAGAGGACCGACGTTCACGGGTTACTCTACATTTTCGTAAATGGAAAAAGTCTGAATCTTTTTCTGCTTCTTCCTACAAATGCAAAATTGGAGAAAGATGTTTTTCCTTCATATTAACTGTGTTGTCCATTTTTTGATCTTTCACTAAGGTCATGTATGTTTGTTTGAAACTTTTAGTGGTGTTCGTGCAATATTGTATGCAATATTTGCAATTTTCAAAAATTACTAAACCCAGATTTTCTCTAAAGTGGATCCAAACTTTTTCATTCAACTTTTAATAGGGATAGTGCTTCATGTATTCTATGAGATGACATGAACATCAGTTTGCTCTATTCTTCTGTTTTTACCAAAATTAAAAAATGTAATTTTTTGACTTATCTCGCACGTATTTTATATTTACATTACAGGCATTTCGTTCACATGAATGTATTTATGAGTTCATGTGTTTTAAAAAATGTCAGATAAAGTTTATCGAAAATTCTTAATCTAAAACTAAAGTTTGTCGATAAGTCCTGGGTGTTGTTTCAACGTTTATTTTATCTTTCGTTGTGAGAAATGGTTAGAAGCTTGCTTTCTAATGTTAAACATTATTTACGGTAACAACTAAAGGTTGAATAGCGTTAAAATTTTGGCGTGTTTGTGTTTTGTGTGCATATTATTCAGGCGCCATTTCCAGTGAATTTAAAATTTTCATCTTTAGAAAAAAACTTAAAAAATTATGAATAGTGAGATGCTCAAATTTTAATAGAGACTGTCGCACATCAATTTATATAATACTTTGACGGGACGAATTAATAAAATGATAAAAACTTTAAATAATATTCTTAAAAATGCTTGTTTTTTCCGCTCTGAAACTGATACTGTACGATAGAAAAAATATTAAAAAAACTATTAATATTTTTTCAAACGGCTTCGTTGAAATACTTGTCAGTAATTATTCTGCACTTTCATACAATTTCAAACCTATAAAGTGAATAGTTTTGGAGAAAATGTTCCTTACATTAATGTCGGCGAGATATCCCATTTCGACTCCCCTGAAATTAGTTAAGAAGCCCTTTATTTTATCACCGGTGGGCGAGAGCATTACGATGGGGAGAACGATAAGGGGGACCAGTAACTGGAATATCGTAGGTTCGATCCAAGGTTTGATATGTACAATATGTGTGAGTTTAAGACCGCTGTCAGATTCGAGAGCGTAGATCGACTGCCCTGAATCAGTGGTGTACCCAGGTATCCTGATCACTTCTAGATGAATACCGTAGCAACAACCAATACAACGTATTTGGAACCACGGAGAATTCCTTCCTTCCTCAACCTTTTACATTCGTATCTTTAATGGCGATTGATGGGCTTCTTCCCCACACTCAAATGGCATCCCCATTGGCGGAGAATAGTCTCCAAGAAGAATAAAATAGTTTAGAGATAAGGGAAAGTTTTCGCGGCGATGGTGTAACGGTTAGCGTATTGGACTGGTATACTCAAATTGGCGGGTTGAAACCCGATCGAAGCCGTGGCTTTTTAAGGGCGAAAAAATCCTTCGTTCGCCTTCCTTCAGAGGGGAAGAAAAGCCGGCTGTACCATGTTAGTATATTTACTTGCGTGTAAAAGATGCATGTAAAAAATAACGCCTCTGAGCTAAATTCAAAATCGCCTGTTCCTCGCCCAAGAAATACCTCCTTCCTCTGCTAGTTGGTGAAAGGAGCGTAGCGAAATTTGCGTGATCAGACGGAAGAGCGGGCCTGATGGCCTGAGTCTCGCCACGTAAAATAAGGCATTAATTCAATTCAATTTTGAGACCTTAGAGGGTTAATAGACAAAATAAAAATAAAGAGATAAAGAATACATAGTTACAGGAAATAAATTTAAATGAGAAGACAACTTTTATAACAATGCAGAAAACTATAAGGCAACTCCAGCAAAATAGAGTTGCCACTAGATTATTAAATTAGAGTATACCAAACAGTAATGTTATATCCACCATCTTGAGAACGCTGGTTTGCTAAGAGCGAAAAACACTCAGTTTTTCAAGTACTACTTATAACTTGCAAAATAACTCTAGCAGAGAACATAAGTGTTTAAAATGGTAGTGTTGTGTGCCCTGGACGCCAAATAAGACCGCCGGTGTCACGGTGATACAGTGGACAAACATATAGAGCGTAACCATAAGAAAAGACAGCAGAAAGTAAACGGGTTGATTTGATCCCTTGCCACAGAGCGGGGCGCCGTCAGGCGGGGCGCCACACGTCCGCTCTTCCTCGCGGCCTCCAGGGTGACCTTGGTGCGCGCGCAAGGCGAGGGGGCGGGGCGGGGCGGGGCGGACGCCGGCGAAGGCCAGGGCCACTGCGCCTCGCGCGCATCTCGCCGGGCGACCGGAAGCGCTCATCAAATCACCCCACCGCCCCAACCACCCGCTGCGCTTCGGCGCCGTGCGGCGGATGCTCATGCGAGACTTCATGAGCTGGTGAAGGATGCGAATTCAGTCACGTGACTAAGCCGTTGCTCGTTCTGGAGTTTATGGTTGATCATAGGTTCACCGAAGTCTTTTCTGGAGAAATTAATTTCTTCTGCATCTCCATGTACCACCTATTAAAATTTCATTCTCATCTATTTTCTTTCCTATCATCGTTATCATCACACATGTGGCCATATGTTTTGGAGTTCCTTGCAACGCGTTTGTTGTGAAAAATTCTCATGCTAATAAAACTACAATAAACAAAAATTACCTTTTATATTTTAAGGTAACATTTGAATGAGATATTGTGTTTACTTAGAGAAATTTTCTGCGCATCCTGTCTACAATATACATATCAAGTACACAGGCTAACATTAGACTTGGTAAGTAGGTAAAAGTTGACAGGCACTGTAGGCACTTCGGTGGAAAGATTCCAGTCCACGCTGAATAGCGGGATGAGAGAAACCGTAGCGAACAATCGAGGAGGAAAAACATCAGTTTTTGTACTTGAATCTCCCTTGGTGCCTAGTGTCTAACGTCGATACACCACAAGAATTTAAAAAAATAACAATGACTTTTAAAAAACGCAAAGAAACTTACTCTTTGTTAGAAATAACTTTGTTAAAAATGCTACTATTGCAATTAGAGATATCTGAGATTCACTTGTAGTTTCGTTACACAAAACATGGTTTCATAATTTTATAGAAAATTCCGAAAGTCATGAGAAACTTGAAAATATCACAAAATATCAGATGAAAAAACTGTAATTTTTTAATCTCTGAAAATACAAAGTTTGAAAACGATTATGCAATACGTGGGTTCAGCATTATAAAGTTTCATTTTCATATCATCCCTGAACTAAAATTTGGACAGTTGGATTTTTTTCACATTAATTATTGCCACGAAATTGAAATAATACTTCACTATTCTCCTACTACCATTTTCCCTCAATCAGTGAATCTTGTAGATGAAAATGTGAAATGTCTGTGATAAACGACTAAACTGTAGAACTGTAAAGGTATTGATCACTGTAGGACCATACTATTTCAAAAAGCAAACCCTAAAACAATTCACACAAAAGGAAAATCAAGAAATGTCATAAAACCTTCCTGAACCTTGAAAGAACCTCGTGAATAAAGATAATGAATGAAGCTACAATTAGAGACCGTTTCACATTAAACTATATTTCGATAGGAATAGCATCATAAAGTAATCGAAATTAAAAACCAAGCTCTATTTGCCTTTCGTGCTTCGATGCATCTACAATCAATCAATGAAGAATATTTTCGATAAAATTCGGAGTCATCATATATTTTTAAAAATCACTCATTACTTAACATCGCTACAATTAATTTACAGTAAACAATTATTGTGATTGTCTGAATACGAAAACAAAACCTGGGAACCGAACATGAAGGGTAAAAAGAGTATATCTGCACTAAGACGTTATTTTGTTTTATGAGTCAGTCCATAAGGCATTGTTTTCATTACGCAGAATCTCTACGGAGGCATTCTATGACCGTCCAGCAATACTCACTGCGCAGATAAATGTTGTCCTCATGGCAGCGATGAGACGGCAGTGGGCGTCGGCGAGACGTCAGCTCCGGAGCGAAGTCCTGCGCACACAGACAACACGGCGGTCAGCGCGGCGGCGCGGCGGGCGCTCGCCTTGAGGCGGGCTCCCCTCCGCCCTCCTCATCCAGCTTCCCACCCCCCACCCCCACCACAATACGCCGCGACCTTGATTGCACCTTTGGCTGTCGGTTCGTGTGGGTCCTACCACTTGTTCCGACACGGGGCGCCGTATTCTTACCTAATCGGCAGTCGCTTAGGCACAATCTCTTTACGAGGCTTTCAGAGGGAATCGGTTACTTCGCAGTGCTAATGACGGTTGAATCACGTGCGCAGACGGTTCGGTTCCCAGTTGTTCAGTTCACCTTTCACTCTCACAGTCGCAACGCGAGGCGATCGATCTGTCTTTCTGGTGTCGGTGATTGATGGTGACGTCTATTCGGTGAGTTATGAGATGTTAGCTTTGGCTGAAAGTAAGGACCAAATAAATGGAGCGAACCAGCCTGATTTGCATTTTATGAATTTATTTTTCAGGAAGATATTTCTGAGGATTTCTCTACATCTCTAATAAAATGAAACAGAATGTCGTATCTTCAGGTAATTTCGCTATAAAGGTTTATGACTCCTATAGATTGGTTGATTATTGATTCCGGGCTCGTCAACTACTACGGTCATTAGTCCCGTAAGTGTAATGCGTGTTTTTGGCATGGGAGCGGCGGTGATCTTCCGTCGCTAGATGGTGAGATCCATCGCTGACCTATCGTCTACTTCTGTCAGCGGCATCTTCCTGCATGTGTGGTAGTGTAGTGCCTGCTAGGGCAAGTGTGTAGACGTAAGGGATGAGAATAGGACAAAGAAGAGGAAGGAAAGATCGCGCGCGGTTCGTGGCCCGTTTGTTGGGGTAGCGTCTAGGCATTCGCCCGGTGTTTACTGGCGAAATCACGGAAAAGTAACGATCAGAGATCGTCCGCAAGCCACGCCTCCCGGTAGCTCCTAACGAGATATACTTAGTTCATTAACTGAACTCTAGATTAGCACAATCTCCTTATGTAATTGACGTAATAATTAAGTAATACTAGACGCGTTGATGAGAAACAACACATCAAGCGACTGAGTCATACCGTCGTGAATTTCATTTACAGCACCACTATCCCGACCGTCGCTTAATTGCTTTGAGCGCGTCAGAGAAGCATCCTGAAGGCAAGCGCACGCAATATTTCGCGAACGCGCCCACCACCGCCCGCGGCTAAGGACCCCCCCCCGCCTCGCCGCGTCCCAGCGCCACTTGTCCGCTGCCCCCGCCTTGAGCGTGAGTGTCACCTGTAAAATTCTGCCCGACAAAACTCTACAGCAACCTCCGCCCGCTTTTGCGTCACCCGTTCTGCCCTTTCGGTGATAAAAAAAATAGGGAATTACTCTGCGAGTGAGATATCGAGATACGCCACTAGCGAGTCGAGCCGCCGCCGCCGCTGCCGATTTTTTCGCCCCAATGGGCGAAGGAGACCCAGCACGAAGGCAATCTTCTACTTCAGGTTGCCGGAGCCCGGTTGTCGGTTGACGCCCTGTCCGGTCTGTGGGGTTTGAACCGGCGCATGGGAACGTTGCTTTCGAATTGAAAGTGATTTATCAAACTTATTGACAGATCGAGGAGCGTGCGTGCTCGTAGTTGTAAGCGTGCTCTACGGTTATTTGGCATTGCGCCAATCAACATCTCATTAATTTACGGCGCCTCTTCCACTGCAACGTGCCACATTTCTCAGAAAGTGTGTGGGGGCGGGTGGCTTTTATCTCAAAGACTGCTACGGTGTTCGAATCACTGCCGGAAACGTCAACCAGTAACGCTCCTGGCGTGCAACAAGCGCCGCCAGCGTCATATGGTTCATCTACAGACAGAGCGTGCCTAAACTATGAAATGCCTTTCTTTGAACTTTCCTTCCTCGAACTCCTTGTCTTAGAGTAGTTACGTCACGGAGCTCTATTACTTATTCATTCTTTTTTCCGGACCAACCAAGTCGGACAAGCAGCTGTTGTGTTGCAAGTCAGCGGGACAATGCTGCCGGGTCGTGTGTCTACGCTACGTCGGTGGCACTCAAGTAAAACACAAACGGAAGTGATAATTGCTGGGGCTGAGGTGCAATGCATTGTTCTTTCTTCAATGGGACAGGGGCATACAGCGATGACTGCATACCGAGCCTTGTTGGCAGACAATTATTGTTATTATAACTGTTCTATTAAAATGTCAAACATCTTAATTTTACGATTATCAATCTGTAAGACTTCCTTACCATGCCACTGAAACATACACCTTTGACTTTTTGACCTGTACGGTCAGTCCTTGCATGGATTTCAGATAATCATAATTTCTATTAAAATGTTCACTTTTCTTGCAAAAATTACCGTTGAAAAAATACAATCATGCAAACAGTGAATAAATATTTCAAAAAATGTCTGAACGTTTTTCCATTAATAAAAAATTGAACAGAGTAAAGGACAGGAAAAACATGGAAAGTAGATAACACTTACAAGATCAAGAGAACACAGGCCTAATGAATTAAGATCTAGACATTTTTTTCAGAAGATGAGTGTAAAGAAATTCTTACACGGAATATGTGGAAGTCTCTTTTTGTAATGATTCTATTCACTTTATTAAATTTACTCTCGTTTTCTTGACTAAAAACCAACAGTTTTTTCACTTTCACTGTTCTACTTCTTCATTTGACTGGCACTTTACCGCTGAAACTCTCCTCCTATATGAAGTTAAAACCTCGTGCGTAACAGGAGTAATTGCACATTCAAAAGCGTTCACTTGCATTTTATTTGTTACCTACGCAGTTAACATTTCAGTGTAACATATGGTAAACAAACATTCAATAAATATGCCCCGAAGAATGTGTTGACCCATATAAGATGTGTGGTGATGAAAAAAATGAATATTTGGATGAAAAACACTGATATGGGTAATTGGAAACTCACGATTTTAAAGGGAACGAAAAGTAATATATTATTTATGCAGTTTTGTACCCTGAATCGGGCAGGGATTTGAAGCAACGTCCAAGATCCCGAGCCGAAGGCTGTATGCTTGAATTCCACGTAAAGTAGTTTTTTTCATTACAAGATTGTGTCGTGATTAGCTTCTCATTCCTCTTCGTCTCATTGCTGAATCATCGTCCCATCCACAAATCATCCAATCTGCATAGAAATGGTACGGCTTTCTTTGATGTCTTTTTTACCTTATTTTTGCCCTATTTATTAATTTTACCACAGTCAGTACATCTACGTAGTGTCTTCACATACCACACTCACGCGTCATCACATATGCGTTAGCGTATCGGACTGATTTACCCAAGTTAGCGGGTTCAAACCCGATTGAAGCCGTGGATTTTTAAGGGCGAAGAAATCGTTCGTACGCCTTCCTTCAGGGGGGAAGTAAAGCCGGCTGTCCCATGTTAATATATTTACTTGCATGTAAAAGATCCCCAAGCCTAAATGACGCCTATGAGCTAAATTCAATTCGCCTGTTTCGTCGCCCAAGAAATTCCACCTTTCTCCGCTACTTGGTGAAAGGAGCGTAGTCTCGCCACGGAAAATAAGGCATCAATTCAACTCAGTTCAATCCCATAGTTTACACAATTAGATATTATCAAAAAATATTTTATTCACATTCCATGATGAAAATGTTAGACTCTTTCCTTCCAGTCATAAAATGTCCTTCATTTTTTCAAGACTTTTTATCACAACTTTTCAATTTATCACAACCTTTTAAAATTTTATATGAAAACATTTTTTATTAAAACTTGTTTAACATGTATTTAACAACGTTTTGGATCACATTGTTTCGCACCCATTTTCAAGTTTCTGCAATAACCATAACAATAATCAGTATATGTTTTACAAATAATACCTGTCATCAAATCTAACAAACACTTTGGTTGCAATTCGTGTGTCTATTTTAAATTTCCACACTATTATACGACCTCTTCTGTCACGTTTACATCGGCTCCCAAGCCGAGAACTCGCCATGACCATCTTGTTATCTGTTTCCATCTCCAAAACAGGAAAGAGGAAAAGTGTGTGTGTGTGGAGGGAGGAGAAGTACGCTCATCATTTTCCTTCGGTGGGAGGATCCGAGTTTGCATATATTCTTTGCCCTTCTTATTTTGACATTCCAACATAAATAATACATTATCATATATGTTTGCCATTGTAATACTTTCCACTATCGTGTTATTGTGTTTTATAATTTTATGTTCATACATTCGGAAATTAACCTCGGTCTAAATCTTGTCGAATTATCTATTTACATTATCATAATGTTTTCAAAAAATGAAGAAACGTATATAACTAGAAGCAATATGTGTCTTATATTTCGGGAGACCGGTGTCTTCGGGATTTATAATCTGCCTAGTGCAGTGTCATTCAGCAAGTCTTATATTTTCATAATGATATGTGATTAAAATAATGTTTGTTAATATCAGATTCTGTTAATGATGTGATGACGTGTGAGTGTGCTATGATATATGTATGTATGTAGATGTGCTGATTATGGTAAAATGATTAAATACGGCAAAAATAAGATAAAAAATAAAAAACGCAGTCAACCAAATTCATATAATAATCCTTTGATGTCTACACTCGGGGACGTAGTGAAGCCATTGATCACCAATGCTAATGCGTATTGCACCAATGATAATGCGCTATGATATCACCAGAAATCATATCCATAGAGATGCAAAATGAAGATAGATAGATTTATTAAAGTTCGTTTTGAGCTAATGCTCGATGGCTAATATGATAACAATTAGAATTAGAATTACAAAACATTTTCAACATTTACAATTAGGTTTACTATTAGAATTTAGTGGTCGATGATCATAGTACAATGTATTTCTAGCTACTCAAATTCCACTTCTAGGTTACAAATACACACTTCACTACACGTACACTACACTTGCACTTTGCCTTCACCTACACTACACTAAACTTCACTTTAACTGTTTAAGGACCATGACGATAATTATAAACAATATACAAATATAAAAATAATAAAACTCAAAAGTTTCCCACAAAGCTAATGACAGTGTTAACAATTGATGATAATTGGTCAGGTTATATATAATAATAATAATAATAATAAAAATAAAAGTAATAATAATAAAACGATAAATGTC